CAAATTCTTAGATTGATAATTCATAAGTGAAAAATAAGAATTAAATGGCTCGTAATCTAAGAATTCATCGAATTCTAAAATTGCCTGACTAATTTAATCTGTTGGAATCAGGTTGAAACTAGCAATGTCATTAATGAAACCAAAAAAATATAGAGTATTTGAAGGGATTATGATTGACATCAATGGAAGGTGAGTGATTAATTAGAAGCTATTTATCATTCCCCACAATATCTGCAATGACTAACTCCTAAATTCTTGAGTGTAAATATATTACAAGAAAAGATTGAGGAACATGTTTGCACCAAAAACACTACTCATTGTATATTAGATTATGAGACCAACTGCATTATTTAAGTTGTTGAAGCCTGAATTCTATGTCAAAGGCAAAATGATTACTTTGAGAGACTTGAGGAGGTAGCAATCCTGATATCAAATACAATTCAGGTATAATAAAGCGTTAATCCATAGAGATAAAATCGTAATCCTTGATAAATGTAACTTTAAGATAGTCGAATTCCTAATAAACAATTATTGAGATATTAATACTTATTCTTAAGAGAACTAAGATGGGTCACTTGTAAAATATATTTGCAGCTGCAATGTAGAATCGTATAAATTCATTACTCGATAGTTAACTTTGATTTCCTATTCTTGAGTTTATATCTTTAGCTACAAAGATTAAATAATAATTGAATTTTACAGTACCTCTAGAGATTCATTCAAGTACTAGTCAAAATTTGAGTAAACGATAACCTTTTTGTTGAAGACTATAGATACTATCCCATTATTTGATATCTTTCTAATTCTTGCCTTTAAAATTCCATTTGCCTTTTGCTTTATTGATTTGATTCTCTCAACTTCGGTGATATTAAGAACTTGTTTTGGGATAACGCTAATTTTAAAGGAATATTGGTTAAACATTTTCTTATTCCATTAGTCTATTAATTTAACAGATACTTCATATAAACCAATGAAACCCTCCTCAGGTTAAAACTCCATAAAACTTTCGGTAAACTTAGTGAAAACAGATATTTTCCCGAGCTTTAACTGAAAATCAAAAGGATTTTTATTTACTATTTTTGGAAAAACCATCTTAAGTAGCTAGCCTTCTACAATTGTCTAATCTTCTATAGGTTAAATAAACATTGGAGCTGTTGTATTGATGAGATAGTTAGTTGGCATAAGAATTATGTAAAAAAATCTTTCATCTTAAACCCCTAAACTGTGATTATTAGGGCTGATAAATGCTAATAATTTCATCCTTATTACAGAACCAGCAAGCGATAAATCCTAAGTTTAAACTTTAATACTCCTTAAATCTGGATTAAATTAGATAAAACTAGGTATTTTTCCAGCTTCAAAATTTTAAAAGAGCTAATATTTTAATTCTCCACAACCTAGTGGTGTAAATTCATGACTTTTAAATATTTATTGAATTTGCTCAGTTCCAATCATATAAGCCATATCATTTATTTTAGGATTTTGAATAAAATTCAATTGATTAACGCAGAGGTCTACATTTATATAGAATTAATCTTCTCAGTATGTATAAAGAAATTAGTTGTCTTAGAAATATAATTCAGCTCTCAGAGTAATTAAATGATAACCTAGTTATATCTCGCCAGAAGCAACATCAGATGTTAAAGTTAGGTTAAAAGTAAAAGCAATGTCATCGTCAAGGAAGATAATAGTATTTTAAGTAAATTGTTTTAAATCTTAGACTTAATCGGACATTGTTAATTATAATGATGCTACATCTGAGCATTTCTAAATTGAGTATTTCCCTATTTCTATCTTGCATGGATAACCTATCATGCAAAGTCCTCCTCGATAGGGGTCATTTTTCTCTTTAGAATAATCAATAGTTGGCCTACCAATCATATTGTCGCAATTACTAGAATCTGAAAGAGGCATTTTCTAAAGATGTCTAATATCTGTTAGGTTGATAGATATTTCACTTGCATTTTTGTAGATTAAATCATGCCAACATTATGAAGCATCATTTTCAGTTTATATCTCTCCACTTTAAGTTATTCGATGCATTTATACAGAAGGGACGCCAAATTAACTAATTTTAGTTAGATCATTATAAACAACACAACCAGCTTTAGGACTACTTCTAAAAATTACTCCATAGGTGGGCTTTTTAGATTAATCAACATATGCTTATCCAATTATGAGGTGACTATTACCAATTTGCTTTAAGACTTGCTTATAGTATAAATTGAAGTTTGTTGATAGATTAATTTTTGATTTGTACCAATTTACGTCCATAGAAATTGTACTTGGAAACAGATTAGCAGATTCAACAATCATTACAATAAGTGTATGTGTTCCTCCATAAATTGGCAAGCTATAATATTCAGTCTATCTAATGTAAATCTATATCTAAGTTCCTAATATCTCCTATATTGTTATTGAAATGTAACTTACTGCTAAGAGGCAACTAAACTCATAGAATAATCCGCCAGATGGTTCTTATTAAAAATATCTGCCAACTGCTTATCCATTTTATGTTGAATCTTAGGCATATATGCCAATCTTATCACGTGAATCAGATGATTATATGCAACCTGCGTATAAATTATATTGATCAGAGTAAGCCATGGCATAGATGTACAAGTCGCCAAGCGAATCACTATAATATAGCTGTTTTTCCCAATCTTTTCATCCATAATTTTAAGTTTTCATCAACCAAATATAATTTTATTATGATTCAGGATGGTAAGAAATCCCTGAAAAAACAAATGAATCTGCTGGAAGGATGTATAAGGATTTAAATTAAGATTATTTTAAAGTAGCAACCTTGCACCAAAGAGATCAGTTGAGTTCCTTATCTATTTTCATAAAGTATTAAATATTAGATTCTGCATCAAAAGCTGTAGTCAAAATATTTGAATTAGTATCCAAAGTCATAGATTAAAATAATGAGATTTCATCACTTTTTGCTTTAATTTGACTTGTTTTTATTATTCTTCCATTGAACTTATTTATTTTTAGAAATATGTGTCCAGTTTCTAATGTTAAAGGTGAATTGAAAAACGTTCTTGCGAAAAAATAACCTTCAGAAGATATAGATGATATTGCCTGGACAGTATTTAAATTATAATTTGCAGATATACTTTAATATAGAAACATCCAAGATATCCTCTGCAAATTATCCTCTGCTATGTAGTAATATTAGCCAAATATTGGGTCATATCCATTATCACCTGCAAAAACAAATGACAATGAGTTTAAATCTAAAGAGGCTAAATTAAATCTATAGTCAAATATATCATCTCCTATAAATATAGGAAATTGATCTTCGCCAAAGCACTTTTTCGTTTAATAGTGACTAAAGATGAATATGATGAATAATCCACAGAGCATTAAACTTTTGATGTGCAAAATTGAGTTGATCAATCCACCAGTTATTGCGAATGCAAATTTGCTTGAGTGTTTTATAGTACTTTTCCTTAATATAGAAATTCAGCTTGTTACATCATCTTTACATAAGATCTCTTGAAATAATAGATTTGAAGTAAATTCTATTCCTATATTTTTTAATCCTTTTGTAAACATTATTATTTACTATATCAGATTAGTTTAATTTAATTTAAATATATATAATTATATTACTGATAAAACATAATTAACATAAAACTTTCTTACTATAATTTAAACAAATCTCATCCTTTGGGGTTTTGGGGTTTTGGGGTTTTGGGG